TGCACTTTTTTACAATTTTTACAATTTTATATTATATTTTTCAGTGTTAAGTGGTTAAGTGGTTGTATTTGGGGGCCTGAATTGGATTAATCCTATAACGAAAGAATGCTAAAACGAACAAGGTTCTAGTACCAATTAGATTCGTTATAGCATACCCCACGTATTAGAAAATTTCGGTAGTTTTGGTAGTAGTGATAAATTTGAAATATTTTCTGTACGATTTCCCTCGCAAAATAAAAAAAATTATCACTATACTGTATATAGCAAAATATAAATAATTTTGGTAGCCGCGATATATAAAAATCGTTATATAAAGTCGCTATATATCCCGACCCTACTGTACTGTATTTTATGGCAGAGAGTATTTAGGAAAAAACGTTTGTGTATATTTTCCTCCTGTAGCCATAGTTTTCTTAAAATAATATACAGTGATCCCTCGGTCAACGAACGCCTCGGTTAACGAAATTTCGGTTAACGAATTACCTTCCATAAGAATCTTCAATTCGGTTAACGAACAAAAATTCGGTTAACGAACTTTTTACGAAATCATGTCAACATGTTTTCGCTTGCTCACCAGCTGGAATATTAGTCTGCCAATACAGTAATCGGTTCTAGGGCTTAAATTCGTTCCCATTTGAGTAAATATCAAGAAGGTTGTACTATTCAATAATTTCCAAGTTTTATATCAAAATTTTTAGTAATTTTAACACTTTTTTAACATAATTGCAGGACAGGAAACTAGTTTTTGGTGCGCCAATCAGCCACTTGACTCACCCAGCAAGGCGTCACTTTGTATCTCTGGTCAGTGGAGGTAACATCTTGCTTGTGGCTCTCTTGAACATAAACTATTTTTACATTTTTACAGTACAATTATTGGTCATTCTGAAATGTATTTTACATATTGACAATATATAGTGCAGTGCTGTGTTGATTTAAAGAAAATAATCTTGAATTACACCGAGTGAACTTAAAATTTTATGGGTGAAATGGCGGCATGAAGCATGGGGTGATTTCTCTTCTCCCTTCTCCTCCACACCCACTTCTAATTCCCATCATCATCATCGACCAGGAGCTTTTTACATACACACCTCAAAGTAAATGTACTTTACTGCATTTATTTTTACTTTGTATGTAATTTTCGGTGAGCTGGAACCAATTACCCAAAATCCCATTGAAACAATGGTTTCGGTTAACGAACAACCTTCTGGAATGAATTGTGTTCGTTAACCGAGGGACCACTGTTTATGTAAATTAAGATGAGATAATAAAGAAAACAAATATTTAAATGTCCTAATAACCGGTTCCAATGGAAATGTGTATATTTTTAAGAGACTGCCGTGTACCCTCGTGACGTCGTACCTTCAACTCCGAATATTTTTTGTCTCCCCATCGCCCTTCTCCAATTTTATCAAGCATTGAATCCCTACAATCATCCTCTTGTAGCTTCAAGTGTGGTAAGTAATGAACTTTTCTTTGTGATAGATAGATGTAATGCAATTTCCAATTCGCCAATATATTATATAGGGAAGATATAAGATGAGCTAAATCTACTAGGTAGATGCTGAGGTAATAGTTTACAGTAAGTGTCGTCTGTGACCCATGCTGATAATTACCCTGGAAAAAAAATTTCCTGCTATATTTCACTGTTTGGGTTGTTGCTGTTCCGGTTGTGTTTTGGTACAGTGGTCCCTCGGTTAACGAGCACAATTCATTCTAGAAGGTTGATCGTTAACCGAAAAATTCGTTAACCGAAACCATTGTTTTTGGTTCCAGCTCACTGAAAATTGCCTAAAGTCAAAATTGCCTAAAGTCAGCAAAAAAGGTAGTAAAGTACACTTACTTTGAGGTGTGTATGTAGAAGGCTAATGGATGATGATGGGAATTAGAATGGGGGCGGAGGAGAAGGGAGAAGAGAAGGCATTGGGGTGGAAAAGAAGTTACCCCATGGCGCCATTCCACCCATAAAATTTTAGTTCACTTGGTGTAATTCAAGATTATTTTCTTTAAATCAACACTGCACTGCATTATATATTGTCAATATGTAAAATAAATTTCAAAATGACCAATAATTTGACTGGAAACACAGAAAAAAGCATTAATGTTGAAGAGAGTCTGAAGCAAGATGTTACCTCCACTGAAAAGACACAGACACTGACGCCTGTATGGTGTGTTGACTGGCTGTTTGGCGTGCTAAAACCTAGTTTCCCTGTACTTCAATTATGTTAAATAATTGTTAAAATGACTAAAATTCTTAATATAAGACTTTTAAAATTATTGAATACAGTATTACCCCGCTTTACACGGTTTCACTTTCCGCGATTTCTCATTTACGCGTTACCTTGCCAGAACCAGACATTCACTTTCCGCGGTGCATCTACTCATATACGCGGTGAAGTATAATTATTTTTTTATTCTTTTATTTAGCTCATAAAATTCATACAAATTACTCGACCAGAATATAATTTACATTGCTGGAATTCTTACAATATGATGATCATTTTGAATACAAACCATGGATTTTGCATTAGACATACAAATTTTAGATCTAATGTAATAATTTAGTTTACACAAAGCAAATATTTTATCTTTTGTGCAAAATATATGAAGTTTACATTCAAAATATTCCCTGACCTGCAAGGAATCCAGAAATGTCAATTATATTATCCTAACTTTAGTCTGAGGTATTATTTATTACTAAACGTTAAAATCTAGAGTTTTCACCCAATCATTAATCAGAGAGGTAGGAGCTAGTGAGCTGGGAAGAGGGGATTTGAGTCCATTATTTGAATGGACATTAACCTGGCGACTGAATTTCTCTTAAATATTAATTGTGTGAGCATACCATCATAAAATTTAGATGTTATTTTTACTACAACATAGGTATTGTGTCGGAAAAAGTGGAGTTTGGGGGTCGGGCCAGTCTCTATTGGAATTAATCCCATATGTTCTGTTGTTCACTTTATGCGGTTTTCACTTTCCACGGTACCCTGTGGGTTCAATTGACCGCGTAAATTGGGGTACTACTGTAGTACAAACTTCTTGATATTTACTAAAATAGTAAGGAATTTAAGCCCTAGAACCGATTACTGTATTGGCAGACTAATATGACAGCTAGTGTGGAAGCAAAATCATGTTGAGGGGCGCTTGTAAGGAATTCGTTACTCGAGGGAATGCTCGTTAACCGAACTTAAGAATCTTATGGAAGGTAATTCGTTAACCGAGGGATCACTGTACTACCATTATTTGTAAGTGTAGATTAGGTTACGTAAAATATTTTTTTAGAAGAAATGTTCAAACTCTGGGTTAGAAAAAGGTGCCAAAAATTGATTAATAATGATTTCAATCACTCGATTTAAATCGTGTCAGTCCTATCTTACATCACCGGAACAACAATAAACAAAAGTTAAATATACTATGGACAAATTTCTAAGGGAAATTCTCTGTAATAGCAATGAGGATGACCTGTTTATTTACATTTATCTTGGATAAGGTGTACCAACCCTCTTGAGTTGCAGCGTTCGGGAACAATCCTTATGTTCGGGATTGATACTCGAGTTTGACGAATTCATTTGTCGGGTTACCGTTTGGTAACCCGACATTCGGGAGTGCTCTTCGGGCTTGCTGCCCCGAGTGTTTAGAAAAATGGCCACTTGTCTCATCAAGTACAGAAGTGATGGTTACAGATTGTGGATGATGGCTGAAGCAAAACCAACACTGGACCTGGAGATACTGACGTCGAAGATCAAGGTTGGCTTATCAGCATCCACCAGTAGACATGAAATTGGTGAAGACCTGAAGGCACTGGTTGCCAGGTGTATCCCAGCATGATGAATGGAGTTCAGTGTATCGAGTCTAGCCTCAGTGGCTGAGGAGTATACCTCACACCCATAATCCAGTTTGGGTATAACTAGTACTGCATGTGGTAAAGGCGCAGCAGAGTTCCTCGGTCAGCACCCCATGACATGAGCCCCAAGACTCTCAATAATTTGAGAGCATGCTGGCAAAACTCTTTGAGGTAACGAATATGTGGCTGTCATGCAAGCCAGGTGTCGAAGATAATGCCCAGGAAACAGGTTTCTGTGACACATCACACATGCTGCCCATAGAACTGTAGATCAGGATCTGGGTGAACACCTCAGAGGCAGCAGAAATGCATGGCAATGGTCTTCAAGGGAGAAATTCTGAAAACATACTGTGATACAGCATGAAACCTTGTGTAGTGCAGGCTGCAAGCGACATTCAGCCATTGACAAGCAGGAAGCTGCATCCCAAATGGCCAAGTCGTCTACATATTAGATTGATACACCACCTGGAACTGATGCTGCTACCCCATTTATTGCAATGGCAAATGGGGTCACACTAAAGACACTGCCCTGAGGAGCCCCGTCCTCCTGAATATGTGGTGCTGACATTTCTGTGGCAATGTGGACCCTAAAAGTGTAACCACTCAAGAACTAACCTAATATTAATGGTAAATAACCTGGCAATCCAAAATTGTGAAGTTCCTTAAAGATGCCAAATCTCCAAGCTGTGTTTTATGCTTTTTCTAAGTTGGAAAAAAAATGCAGACGAAATGCTGGCAACGAGCAAAAGCCTCGAGAACTCAAGAGTAAAATACATACTGGCACACACCCATTTTGTATACTATTAGAACACAATACCCAATTCACCTATAACTCCTTTGTCCACAATACAATACTATCCTCCACACTACAACTCATCTGCTCACCATGTACTTTAATCCCTTATCAACAATTGTTGCACTTTAAAATATTATTCTAACTGCCAGTTGATTTCATTCAGTTTAGGGAAACCTCTATGAACCAAAGGGTTAAATTAACCAAAAACAAACAAAAAACAATCCTATAACATAACTTCTATACAAGATCTCCTGAAGTGACTAAAAGTTCTTGTCAACTACCTGATGACCAATGGCCCTGCATCCATGTGAAGCAGAAGCTACAAAAAAATACAACAACGAAGAAGATTTACATACAGACCTGTTCAGTTAATAGTTGTGCAGCACGATATGGATCCTCTGCTTGATTTATGACATTACAAGCCTCTTCTGATCGAAGTACAAAATTTACTCCATCTGAAATTAATAGCAGAAAGGCATCTTTCCCATGCTTTACCTGCAAAAAAAAAAAAAAATCAATCAATAAGATTTGGAGTACACTAACAAGAAGAAATTTACTTACAGAAAGGATATTTTACAATGACAGTAAAAAACAAATTCCTTAATAGTAATATCTCCAGTAGCCCGAATCCCTCAAATACGGAACTCTCCGACAGCCGGAATTGAAATTTTCTCATAAATCGTTTCCAAAGCCAGAATTTTCCAGAAAATTACGGCTTTGGGAACGATTTGCCGAGGGGCACATTTTCCGGAAATTCAGAGAAAAATTTTCCAGTACCCGGAAAATTCCGGGGATGGGGGATATTTTTCTGGCTTCAAGAGATGATGTACCGTAATGGGTAATTTCTGGAATTTCCGAGAAAATTTCCCGGCGTAATAAGAGTGGTGACGGACCAGCAAAGAGTGGTAGAGACTTGAACTTGCTACCCTAGACCGTCTCTACCATCCTCAACACAGGTAAATAACAGTTTCAATTTATGTTTTTACATTGCTTACTTAAGGGTCATTATGCTTCCTTCCTGTGTCTGCTTTTATTTCTTGCTTGACAGTATGCAGTACAGTACAGAGGTATATTAAGGGCGGATGGGAGTTTTTGGAGGATGGCCGGTCCCTAACCCATGAATTTATGTTCATATGGGATTAATTGCTTCGATAGCCATTGATTCACTAACCAATGACTTTTCCCTGGTCCTTATATGCATCAGTTATTGGGGTATACTGGTAAGCATTTAGCATGGGCAGACAAAAGAATTGTACACCACAATACTGTCCTGTATATACCACTGTACACCTCAAAAGATGTTAAAAAGTCTCCTTGAGTCTAGGGTAGGCATACACTATCCACTATGCTGAATGTACAGTACAGTATACAGAAATCTACACTAATAAATTTTTACGTCGTAACACTTATGATGGAGGTAGGGTAGGGGATTAGTGAGTTTCATGTTACTGACCTGACCTGATACAATGTCATCAGGTATATAAGCTCTTCTCTTATTTGCATTGTGGAGTTGGGGGATTAGTGGGTCTCGTGTTACTGACTTGACCTGAAGATGTCTTGAATAAAGACGAAGGCTAAGGTGTTCCAATGTTTCCTTTTTCTTGTACATGTGATGCTTTCACACTTACTGAATGTACAGTACAGTACAGTACTATATGTAACTGTAATCACTGTTTACATCTTAACAATGCTTTTACACTGTATTTTTGGCTGATTGTGTCCTGGTACAGTAATGTACAGTACAGCACAACACAAATTGTACGCAAAAACAGTAGTAAGCGAGGGAAACAACCTTGTATAATGGCAGCAGAATATGAACAGTGTGTGTAAGTTACCCAAGTATCAAGCCCACCCACACGCCTGGCACATGGTGAAGCATTGGAACATGATGCAATCTCTTGGAAGTCCTGGAATGGAGAGGTTTAGAGGGTTTTTCTTGGATTTTTTCTGGAAAATGCACCTGATTTTCATTCTCCGAAACTTGTTCCCAAACCGAGAATAGAAAAGTTTTCCTGGAATTTTTTCTAGCTCAATTTCAATTCTGGCTATTGGAAAGTTCCAGAGAATGGGGATTCCAGCTAATGGGGAAACTACTGTATGAAGATAAATTAAGTTAATCTACTTACACTCCCCGAGGCTTTGGAGTAAGACTCAAAAGTGGTAGATGACATGGGGAGGCTTAGGTGCAATCTCAATTCTGAGTTAGTTGTTCTATTATTTTCAGTTTATCAGTACAGCTTGTATAGTCATGTAATTGTTATGGCCTTGCACCACCACTATACTTATCAAAGTAATGAAATATTTAGTATTACTGTATAGTACATACAAAAAACACAGAAATAGTGCCACAGTACACAATCTTAGAGGACGATGTATGAGAAACACCTGTAAACAAAGGACTGGGCCTATGTTATTCCTGGGGTGAGCCATGTCCCATATGAAAATAGATCAATCATGCTTTAGAACAAGTAGTTAGTGCGCGTGACAATAATGGAATAATTTTGACCACCTACTTCCCTTTCTCCTGAGGAAGAATGGGGTAGGGGTGTATAGAGTGTGACCTGAAGAGTTGACTAATTCAAGGGATACTGGAAACAGAATCCTTTGGCCTCTAACCCCTTCACTCCGGGACACCACATTCAATATTTTATTTGGCTAATGCCTGATGATTTTATTAAGCACAGAGACCCTTTGTACTCAAGGGGTCAGATGGAATATGTAAAAGCCATTTAGTATAACAATCCTTAATCCGATGGATTCAGTTATCCTAAGGGAATTTGTGGTTGAAATGTTTGATAAAAGTTTAATTTAATCATCATCATCACCATCAACACTGTTTTATGACCAATTTCCTCATTTAAATGGGATAGCAGTCATTAGGCCCAAGGAATTTTAAGCTGAGAATTTTTTGTTCTTAATATCTCAAAGATCATATAATAAACTTAGACATTAGGTGGCTGAATACTGGGATTCCTGATATTGGGTTTACGATGGCTGCCATTAAACAGGTGATGTGGAGATAGAAGGGAAATTGTTGGCTCACTTGTATTGACTTGAGGCATGCTTACTGACATTAACAATTTCTAAGAAGAACTCAGATTTCCCTAGAAAGAGATATGTAACCCTCCAATGGAAGTCCCACTGACTTAATCCCTATATATTACTGGGAATCCATCTATTGGAACTTCTGACCTATTCACTAAAAATCCTACTTTAAATGAAGCTAGATTTATTCACCTTTTGTATATTGTTATCCACCATAGTCAGCCCCAAAATTATTCAGGCAAAAAAAGCAAAAACACTTTCCTAACCTAATCATCTTAGTAACACTCATGAACCTTTATTACAAACTTCCAAAACAATATTGAACCCAGAAGGTAATATCATGAGTTGGTAATGATGTTTAGCTAGACTAAGAAAGATAAGACTTTCCTTTTACAGTACACTGTATGTACTACTACACATTAGGGTTCTGGCAGGTCAACTATGTTATTGCAAAAATGGACCTGGATATGGAAAAATTAGGTAGAATTACGTAAAAAATGCATAAATAAAAACATATATAAGGCAAAATCGTGTAAAGCAAGAGACTACAGTAGGGTCAGGATATAACGTGACTTTATCAAAATTTTCCTATATACAGTGGTCCCTTGATTAACGAACGGTCCAATTAACAAAATTTTGGTTAACGAATTAGCTCCCATAAGGATTTTCAGTTTGATTAACGAACAAAACTTCGATTAACGAAAGCCTTACAAGAAATACGGTTTGCTGTGTGCATCAGGTGATCGGCTAGTCCGCCAATACAGTAATCAGTTCTATGTTTACATTCGCTTCCAGTGGAGTAAATATCAAGAAGATTGTGCTCTTTAATATTTTTGCATTTTTTATATTAAATTATGAGTCATTCTTAAATTTAGTTAACATATTGATAATATATGCAGTACAGGGAACTAGATTTTGTGCGCCCAACAGCCGCTTGACTCACTCGCCAAAGCTTCTCTGTTTAACTTTGTTTACAGTGGAGGAAACATCGAGTTTGTTGGTCTCCTGAATAATTTTACATTAAAATTATTGGTCATTCTGAAATTTAGTTAACATATTGATAATATATAGCACAGTGCAGTGTTGATTTAAATAAAATAATCTTTAATTACAGCTAGTGAACTTTAAATTTTATTGGTGAAATTACTGCAACAAGCATGGGTGATAAAGATGATTCCCCTCAGTATTCCACTCCAAAAAGGAGAGGATTTTCATGTTAGAGAATCTGTCAGTCCAGAGGTTCCTGACATTATGGAAGGTGACTCGCCTTCCAAGAAGCATTAAAATGCTTCTCTTCTCCCTCCACCCCCACTTCTAATTCCCATCGTCATCATCAACCAGTAACATTCTACATACACACCTCAAAGTAAGTGTACAGTACTGTACTGCATTTTGTTTATACTTTGTATGTACTTTTCTGTGAGTTGGAACCAATTACCCAATATCCCATTGAAATAATATATTCGGTTAACGAACGATTCTGTGGAACGAATTGTGTTCGTTCCAGAGGATCGTTTGTTAACCGAAAATTTCGTTAGCCGAAACCATTGTTTCAATGGGATTTTGGGTAATTGGTTCCAGCTCACCGAAAATTACATACAAACTAAAAATAAATGCAGTAACGTACACTTACTTTGAGGTGTACATGTAGAAGGCTCCTGGTTGATGATGATGATGATGGGAATTAGAAGTGGGGATGGAGGAGAAGGGAGAAGAGAAGGCAGTGGAAGAGAAATCACCCCATGCTTCATGCCGTCATTTCACCCATAAAATTTTAAGTTCACTTGGTGTAATTCAAGATTATTTTCTTCAAATCAACACTGCACTGCACTATATATTGTCAATATGTAAAATAAATTTCAGAATGACCAATAATTGTACTGTAAAAACGTAAAAATAGTTTATGTTCAAGAGAGTCTCAAGCAAGATGCTTCCTCCACTGAGCAGACACACAAACTGACGCCATTCTGGGCGAGTGAAGTGGCTGTTTGGCGCGCTAAAGACTAGTTCCCTGTACTGTACTTCAATTATGTTAAATAATTGTTAAAATGACAAAAAATTTTAATATAAGACTTGGAAAATTATTGAATAGTACAACCTTCTTTATATTTACTGAAATGGTAACGAATTTAAGCCCTAAAACCGATTACTGTATTGGCGGACTAGTACTACAGTTGGTGAGCAGGCGAAAGCAGGCGAAAACATGTTGACACAATTTCATAAGGATTTCGTCAACCAAATTTTTTTTCATTAACCAAATTATTTTCGTCAACCGAATTGAATATTGTTATGGAAGGTAATTCGTTAACCGAAATTTCGTTAACCGAGGCGTTCATTAACCGAGGGATCACTGTACAGTACAGGTAGTCCCCGACTTACGACCACATGGACTTACGTCCATTGCTACTTACGACCTGCTCTGGCCGTACGTCCGTCGGGACATACGACTG